GCCCTAAGCCAAGGCTAAGGCTGCCCAGAGTTGCTGGGAGTCAGGCAGCATATTAATTAATTAATGAAATAAATAGCCATGTTTTTAAAGACCTTTTAAGTATGGTAATGGTGGGGCCCCATGGACCTCTGTTCTAGAGAGTAAGTGCTGTGACAGAGAACTCCCACTTCCTGGGTGCCATCAGATGACATTGTTTAATCAGTGGGACTTGGGATCTCCAAGTGGTCTCCTATTCAAATATTGACCAGGTCTATCTATGCTTATTTTTCTCAAGATCAGCCCAGATGATCCATCAAAACATACTTAAATAGGAGCATAACTTGCATTTTTAGATATACAGGTAGTCCCTGGGTTAAGAACGCTTGGTTTAAGGATGAGGCATAGTTAAGCATGGAACCTATTGTAGCAAAATTTGAGTTAAATACACAATGATTTGAGCTAAATAAACAATGGCTCAAGTTCATTACACAATACTACTTATACAGTATTATACAATAATACTGTTCCGGCTTATATGCAAATTCGACTTAAGGATAGACCTTGGAACAGAACTCGTTCTTAAATTGGGGACTATCTGTACAAGGAGGAGCCCTGATTACAGCAGGAAAAGAAAATTTTAAGATTGTATCCAATGGTATCTATTCACTGTGGTTGCCTTTGCAGCCCCCAGAACTGCTTCAAAAAGTTGGGTTATCCCCCATAGCAGACCTGGAGGGCCCATAAAGGAAGTAGTTCTTTGCATGAGTGAAAGTTTGCTGCTACAATTTTGTCAACAACAACAACAACAACAATAATAATAATAGGAGGAGGAGGAGGAGGAGGAGGAAACAGACAAGTTTTGTTTTTATTATACTGGTTAGATTAACAGAACCAGCAGTTCAGAAATGTTCCTAGCAAGCCAATAGATTCTTTTGCAAAAAGAAGTATGGGGCTGTCTAAGCTAACTCATTTTTGCTGTAGTGCATTCTTTTATAACCTTGAAGAAGGCAACTACAGCTTCCTGGAATGACATTTTCTGTGCTGTGTTTGCATGCTTGCTAAGCTCTAGTCAGACACTTTTTTTTTTTTTAAATTAACACTGCAATTCTTTTGCAAAACAGCAGATTTATGATATAGCTGGAATTCCTTGTCTGTGATTAATGTAAAAGAGATCAATTGCTTCAAGTAATGTTATAAACCCATCACTTTGTATGTTTATGGGGACTCTTTCCCCTTTGGGTCCAAACTCCGCAATTGTTGTATAATTATTTCTGATGGAAAGTTGCCTCTTCTTGGCTTCAGACATCAAGAAGACAGTCCTAAATGACTTGTTTATAATATAGGCCTTTCTGTTCTGTGTGAGCTTACTGATACTTCCCCTCTCGCCCTCTACAATGCAAGCCCACTTCTGCAAAACATCTTGGAATGTGACTTATTCCACAGAACTCTCACAGACTAGTGGGAAGTGATTTATACATTCAGATGATCCCAAAACAATTTTGGGGTGGGGGCAGACTGGGCAGAATTTCCTGAAACCATCATGGTTCAGAAGACATTCTTTTTAGACATAGCTCTTATCGCCTTTTATTTGTTATTTCATGGAAATGGGAGGTGTTTTTTTTTAATGACCAGCTCATATACTGAAGGAGCTAAGAAGAGATGGAGTGCATAAGAATTAACATTAAATGACATAAGAATAGGTACACAAATCAAGGTTTCAGTGACACATCACATTTCAAAATATTCTAGGGCCATTTAAATGCACAACATAGTGTGTAAGAATGTTTCATTATATTTTTTCATTATTATATTTTTATTAAGCATTTTTAAGGAAAGGAAAAGAAAAAAAGAGGAAAGAAAAAATAAAGCACAAAATAGATAAACAGGGAATTTTCAAGCACCATAAATTAGGTTAAAAATTTCAGTTTTTCTTTGGTTAGTTTTAAATAACTGAAAGTACTATAATGTACTAAAATCGTTGATAAAATCCAGATAATATAATCAGCAATAATCAGTGCAGTACAAATCATAAAATGAGATTAATAATTACAGTAGTTTCTATTGGGTTCTTTGTCTTCTCTGAGCTTGGTTATCCTCTTGTAGAAACCCAACAGTTCAACCCTGAGCTACAGATATTTCCTTCAATTGCTACCAAGTATGGGTGTCATTATGTTTCAGAAAGCTCTGTATCAGATTTACTTTTGAAATACAGTTATTTTGGACATCAAGGCATACTCCCAGAGCTTAATTAATTAGCCATTTTTCTGCAGAAGGAATCATGTATGCTTTCCAACTGAAAATGTAGAGTATTTTTGCAGCTGTTACCATGTACAAAGTAAATCAATATACTTGGTGGGACTGTAAGATTTAGTAATATTTAGTTTTTAAAAATAGCGGATTGGAAAGGAAATTCAGATTTTAAATGTTGTTTTATTCTATTATGCATCATTTTCCAAAGTTGTTGAGCTTACATTATTGCCACCAAATATGGAAAAATGGTAATTACATTTCCAACAATTTTTAGAAAATGAACTATCCATTTTAGCAATCAGAACTGGAGTAATATATCAGCAATAAAACATTTTATACCAGTTTCCTCAAAGTGTAATATTCGGTGCGAATTTAATGTTTTTCTTCCACTGAAATTCCCATTACTGCACAGCAATTACTGTATCTAAATTCTGCATTTATTTAATCCTACAGTCTTTAACTTGTTTGGGTCCTGAGCTCACCAACAACTGATAAAAAAAGGCCCAGCTCATGCCCCAAATTTTATGTTACAAGGTTTTCAAATTCAGGCACATTTCTGCAGTTCTTTTACAGCTATATTCTTTATTTGAAGATATGAAAACCAGTTGGGTGGTTCTGACCATTCCAAAAGAGAAAAATCTCCAAAGATTTTATCTTTGTCTTATTACTAATCACTTCTTGCAGTCTATACAATTTGCACCTTTTACTGACTTTTAAAGGATCTCAATGAGAAAAGTTAATCATGCCCAAGCTGAGGTCTTATTTTGTCAAGGGGAACTAAAAGCAACCAATTTAGTCTGAAATCAGTCAGATAAGCTCTGGGACCAAATGCGTAAGCATGGCTGAAGACACAACATGGTTCACGGCCCTGAAGGAGATGTGTTCCAATGCTTTTAAGCTATAAAAACCTTTATTCTTGTGAAATGTTGAGACTCTCCCTTGCCTTCTCTACCTGTTATTTACTGGTGCCTCCTCTTCTTTTCACAGGCGCTTTTCTAAATTCCTGCAGCTGCTTGTGGGGGAGGAGGGTCAAATCACACATTGGGCCATTGATGTTTTCCATTCCCTTGTGTTTGTCTCTCAGCCTTCTTCAAGACGACTGGGCTTGTCTTGTGCCAACTGTCATACTACAACCACCACCCTTTGGCGCAGGAATGCAGAAGGAGAGCCCGTATGCAATGCTTGTGGCCTGTACATGAAGCTTCACGGGGTAAGCAGCTGCTTCAGGAGCTCTTTCAGTTTCATGGACACGCTGTCTTGCAGCTATTCCTCAGGGGGAATGCTTGTTAAGATGTACAGAAGGCCATATCCGACCCTGCTAGAGAAATCCCAGAGGAATAAGAATACTTTTCTTGCTTGTTTGTTTTACATGTTTGCAATTGCATCCAGCAGCTAAAAGATACAGGGGAATGTCAACAGAGAAATGGCACCCCTCTGTGTCACCCCCCCCTCATATAATGCTTCAGTGAAGCTATGCTGAACACAAAGCAGAAGTAATTAGTTGTTGCTACTGCCAGGCCTGATATATTGCAAATGATAAGGGGAAGGGGAACTATTCTCCATTTTAAAGTATCCTTCAGTTTGGGACATTCTAATAACAAATAAGCTTCCCTGTTAAATGCTGACAAATGAGAAGAGGAGGCTAGTTGAGAGGGGCCACTTTTTATCATATACTATCAAATACAAATAAGAACGTTTCAGAAGCCAAGAGGAATGTCTTTGTTTCTGTCCATGCACTTACTGTTTATTTATTTGGTATTCTTTATACTACATTGGGGTGCACTCTTAAAATAAAGAGAAAAATATTATAAAATATTAACAAATAAAATAGGGAGGGAGGAAGGAAGGAAACAAGGAAACAAAATTTGTATATAGCATTCACATTGGGAAGGGCTAAATACATAGATGGTTTATTAATAACTGCTTAAAGGTGTAATTTTGACATCTCCCAAATATGTTGGGGAAGACCATGACTGAGAACAGGCACTATGGATAACATACAAGTTGTGGCACAAACATCAAGATCTCTGTCTATGAAGCTCCTGAAGATCAAAGAAGTAATCAGAAGTAATTTCCAGTTAGGATAGATGGGTTACAGTTCTGCTGAGTCTACCTTTGCTCAAAGGTCAGCAGCATTCTCAGAACTTTGGGTTGTTTGTTAAGGATGATGAACATGGAACCCAAAGTTGTTTGCCTACAGTGGTCTTGAACATGTAGGCTTCATTCCAATGGGCTATGTATCTGAGTATGTATAAAGTGAACATTATAGTACTGAGTTTTGCTATTTCAATGCCTCATCTTATAAAATAACTCTGCTTCTGTGGCAGCCTTCCCAAAACTGAGTGCCTTTCAGAGGTGTGGACTTCAATCTCCAGTCCTCCAACTTTGTTAGGCTCTTACTGAGAATTCTAGAAGCTGAACGTGCATCTGGAGAGCACATAAGATGTGAAGGCTAATCTAACTAATCTATACATTAGCCACCCAGAGTCATTGTAATTGGGTGGCCTAGAAATTTAAAATATAAATAAATCCAATAAATAAATGATAAATAAATATTGATTATATCAGTTTAAAAAGTGGGACAGGCACTCAAAACCACAAGATGCACAAGGGACAGGAAGGGGAGGGAAAGGGGTCTTCTTCAAAGCCTAAAAGTATGGTGAGCCTCTTGCTGGTATTCATGCACAGTTCAAGGTAGGCTAATATTCTCTTCCTGAAGCTCTTGTTCCCTTGGGCAATGGGTGGGACTAGAATGTGCTTTCTGCAGCACTTCCTAATCCCAGCGTTAGCCAGAGTTGAGATTCTCTCTGGCATGGGAGGCAGAAGCAAGCTGATCCTTCTTTGCCTGATGTAAAAGGCCAAGGTGATTTCTCTGTTGCCCTATCTTCTTCCTGGCGGATAGGAGATGCCATTTAGTGAAATACAGGACATTTTGTATGAACACTCAGTAGCTGTATAATTAATTAGGAAGTAGTCCTGAAAGGAGGAAGAGACAAAAAAGTTGAGTGGCTTGCTAATCCCAAAAGCTTGTGGTGAGGCAGAGCTCTTGCTTTTTAATGTATTTTATTTTTAAAATTTAAAATGACAATAAGACAATTCTAATTGGAAATGTTGGGGTGAATGGACAATAGGGTACCTTCCAGTGGATCTGGGGCTTAAGATCACTCTGCTGAACATAATGGTATAATTTTGCTTATGGCAGGATAGCTCTGATGGAGGCTGGTAAATCTCCTAAGAGGAAATAATTTCTGAAATTTGATGTTTTATGTTTCTGCGTTCTCATTAGGTGCCCCGACCTCTTGCTATGAAAAAAGAGGGAATTCAAACCAGGAAACGAAAACCGAAGAACATAGCTAAGACAAAATCATGCTCTGGTAAATATACTCAAGGAGCCTGAACAGGGACTGAGAATTTTCTGGGGTGTAGTTGTCCTAATGCAGGGTGTTACCATTGCAGGTAATAATAACAATAATGCTGTTCCTATGACTCCAACTTCCACATCTTCTACAAACTCAGATGACTGTAGAAAAAATGCTTCCCCCGGCACACAAACAACAGCCTCAGGGGTAAGTGATAAAATAATATCTATACTTGCAAGTGGATTTCCATTGCTCATGTTATCTCTACTTTTATCTTATCTACTATTATAACAGTAATCTAAATAAACTGCTCTGTTTGTTAGCTGATACTGGAGTGGGAATTTCTCAGGAAATTGCCCATAAATGCAAACATAGTGTAAATCTAAAGTACTTTACAAACATCTTTATTAAAAGTTTGCTTGCAGACACATATCTTATTTATACTATATTGGATTATATATTATATTGTACTGTGTATTATATATTATATTGTACTGTGTATTATATATTATATTGTGCTGTATAATATATATTACATTGTACTAAGTTGTCTAGTAGACATTGGCTCTGGTCCCGGGTGGGAAGATTCACAGGTTAAAACATTGTCCATGTACACTGCATCCTTTTTTAGCAAGATTCATTCAAATTCAGCAACCAAACCAAGGAGGGAATTCTCAGAATAACTATAAAACAATATACAGTAATTGTATTCATATAACACCTCAGTCTTACTCATTCCCTCAGGGAAGTCTCCTTTCTTATATTTGTGGAGTGGTGAAGAAGCTTAGTAGAATAACTTTTGTTTCAACTAGATATTTCTTTAGCATCTGATACAATTTAAAGTTGATTTTTTATACAAGTGTATAGAAACAAGATTCACAAAGGAATTCATGCTCAAATTATTGCATGCTAGCTTATACCAGGGCTGTGAACATCATGATAATAATAACAACAGCATCATCAACAACCTTTCCTCTGGGAACTCAAGAAAATGCTCATATTCTCATAAGAAGAACTAAATGATAATGACTGGATCCAAGTCACTGAGAGAGATTTAGAGTCAAGTGAATCTAGATCTTTTCATCCATCATCCTAAACCCCCACACCACATCCTTTTAGCTTAGTAGTCATCAGATCTCTTATAGTGTAGTACGGTCTCATATTATCAGAATACCCATTTAGAAGGCTTTTGAGACAAGAGAAGCCACTATAAAGCAATTTAACAAGATCCAATTAAAGTTACCACTTCATATCAAAACAAAGCATTATTCTGCAGAACAAGCAATAGAATTTTCTGCAAGGGGATTCTCTAGCCAACCCACAATAAAAATATAAATTTATATTAGTTTTGCACATTAATTTCTATGGAGATACATTAAATTTTACTGTACTTAGAGCTTCATTGGAATATACAAATTAAAGCTAACATATTACTGACCTTAAAGATTAAAGTGCCTTATGTATTACCACATGAAGATAAATTATACAGGCGACCTATACAAATAGCTATAATTTAACTAGAAATATAATACATCTCAGTATAGTGAAAACTAATATCTTCAGGTGACATTTAGCCTGTCCTAGATTTCTCTAATGATGAAAAGGTGGGAAATTTCTTTTAATTGTTTAGTAACAGCCCACCCAAGAGAATCCTCTTTCTTTTTACTCTGTGAATAAGAAAGTGATTATACAATAAATTTAACAGGAACCCCTTATTCCAAATTCACTTTCCTAAACAAAACAAAACAAATCAGTCCCCCCCACCAAGAGACTGGATCAGCCCTTGATTAATGGATCAATAGATCAATTGATTTAGATTAATGGCCACATTTAAAATTTTAGACTTATATTGGGTCTAAAATGGGTGCACTCACAAAATGACTGCTATAGGAAAACTTTACTTTTTACAAAATAGCTGCCACACTGGATGCTACTTGTCACAAAACATCCATTTATCACGAAGCAAATTGTTCTCTTCCTGTTTGGGGATTGTACACCTCATTCCACAAGAACTAGAAACTTGTATGTTTTTTAAATGCGAGTTCAGTACTTGACCTCTATCTGATACATCAGTCACCATTCTCAGCAAGTTTGCTGGATTCAATCCAATCTACTTTAAATACATAGGGCTTAAGTTAAGCCATGGGTAACTTTTCTCCCATTAATTTCAGTAGGATCAAAATGCAATTAGATTTTCTGGATTCGTTCCATTATTTTCAATATTTTCTACTTTTATTTTCTGCTACAATAACAGACCATAATTAAAATACCCTTAAGTATGTCAGTTCAGATTTGTTACATTAAAATTCCCAACAGGAAACAAGGGGGGAGGGTTACTGATTGCAACAAACGAGGAGGGGAATCTTATCCCTTGACATATTCCAGAAAAGAAACTTTCCTTCCTTGGTGGCTGTCTGAAAATGAAAATACATGCTTGCATTTAAGTGTATGTGTCCATACAATTTATACAATGAAAACTAGTCTGAGATGTTAGAAATACTTATTCAGTCAAAGTGTGAATAGTGAGGAGCATTTGATTAATTTACAGACTGAGAGTGCAACCTTAAATCAAAAGCGCTTTGTCTGGAAGAGACTGGGATGAGGCACAAGTTGGCCAAAATCCCCCTCAGCTTGTGAGAAGTTCTTTCTTTTGGTTGACCCCAAAGATTTGTTGTCAGAAAAATCCTCATCTCTGGCCAAAACATGCTGGCAGAGAAAACAGAACTAATCGAGACAGGGCAGGATGAGGAGAAAATCAAACCACATATAAAGCCCCTCCAGATTAGGGACCCACCCATATTATTGGCACAGATGGAGGTCAAGCCAAGGGTAGCCTTCATAAATTTCCAATACACTGACTTCAGTGGGATATGAGAACACAATTTTGTCATCCTTTCTTAAACTATGCCTACCCTGGTAATATTGAAGCCAAGATGTTGGCAAATGGGCTTCCCAAATGTTGGATCACTTGGCTTCTGGACATTTTGGCCATGTGAACAAAACCATTCTCATAAGACCTTAATGCAGAGATGGACTACCTGCACTCCAAAACTGCACTCATCTTCAGAAACCCCTCTAACTACAGTATTGTTTAAAATTAGTAACATGGTTTCCAAATACTTTGAGGCAGAAAACACAAGATAACTTTAGGTATAATGTCTGAAATTGTGTTAAGTGAAAAAGCAAAGAACTCCACCAAACTCTTTCCAGAAAAACAAAGATCTCAGTTTTGTCCATGAATGTACTCCTGCCCACTTGGCATCATTGCCTTGTCCATCCTTGACACATACTGCTCCCCCCTCATATTAATTGTGGATCCATCCACCCAAATAATTGTTCATTCATGCAATTCATGCAGGATGAAACTAGTGCTGTGCTGAGACCTGAATTTGAAGGACAAAAAAAACACCTGAGCATGCCCAGAATTCCTGTTGGAAAGACTCTGAAACAACTGTTTCTTTTTCTGAGCTCATACAGCTGCCCTCCGTGATCCTGGGAGAAGACACATCTGGTTTGGAGATGTTTTTGGCAGCTTGCATCCATCCAAAATTACATTTTGCCATTTGAATCCAGATCTCTGCATAGCCCTGTTAGAAATGTCCACAAATAAAACATACTAGCAAAACTCTCCTCTGACCAAATTTGGTTCTGTACAAAAACTTTCCCTATCCTTACATTCCCAGATACAAAGGCAGGGTGTTCTCAAAACATACATCTTCAAGATTGCATGAGCAACATGTACACCCATTATTCCCTCCACATAGTGTACAAGGGGAAATTGAAGAGAGGAACTGGGCAGATTCAATAGGTATGTTATAGAGGTCACTGTTACATTTGTGGGTGCCCCACTACTAATCCAATAATGTGTATTTCCTAGGTGTAAAGATTTTTATTTTATTGGTTTGTATGCTAAAGAAGAGGGTGCTATTCTGACAGCAGACTACAATTTGTAGAAAGCACTGTATTTATTTATTTATTTATTTATTCGTTCAATCATTTATTTATTTATTTATTTATTCATTCATTCATTCAGCTGTTGGTTTTCAATGAATTAAATCATGGCGGTTTACAGCAAAACATATATACATGTATATAATATTAGTCATATAATTAGCTTAAAGAGCTCTTCAAAGGGGCTGCTTTTTAGTCAGTTTCTGTAAATGTTTCTTATAATCCACTGGATTGTACTGTATTTTGATGTTCCCTGACTCCGTTCCTTTTCATCTGAATTTCTGATCAAATATCTGCTTGTCCGTAAAACAGAAAATGTCCTTCTGCAAATGTATGTATATCCATTCCAGTGTGTTTAGCTCTGGCTCTGGCTCCAGTTGTATTTCTAGCTATGAAATGATGCAGTCCTTTGCCTGTTTGTTTGGAACAAAGTCCAACAGAGTTCGAAGGAATTTATTGTTATGTACCATTTAACATATATTACCAGTAATAGTATTGAAGGCAAAAGGAGAAGAGGACGGCAGAGGATGAGATGGTTAGATAGCATCACTG